CCACCCCTTCCAACCACTATTCGTTCCGGTCGATGCAGCAGCAGCAGCAGCAGCAGCATCACGCCTTAGTAGATAAACAGTTTCTAAAACGTTGGACGATGCGCGTAAATTTGTCGTTGATGCCGTGACGGTAATCGTACGTGAACTGAGAGATGGCACACAGTTAAAGAAGACGATTGACAATATTTCAAAGATTACACTCGTCGTTGTTTACTTTTTTACATATTCTATAAATTTTCTGAAAAATCAGTGAAAATTAAGCCATATTACATAGATGAGTACCGCTTCGCAGCAATTTCATCCCTGATTTATCATTGCCGCGCAAATCGGGTTTAATTTTGGCTAAATTGCCGACTTACTTTAAACCTAATAGGCTATGCTTAAAGTGTTAACGACCATGTGGTGATTTGGCGCGTGTAATTGCATTCGACACTGCTTATTTCATTAAAAGACAACGTGCTCGCACAACTCGTGAGTAAGCACTGGCAGATTCGGAAGGTAAGTAATGTGTTCAGGTTGAAGCAGGCACAATCGTATGCGTGTCAGTTGGTCGCTATTTTGCATGTGAACCACGTAGAGGCTTACTCACCCACACAGAGCTCCACTCGACCACCAAACACACCTTCTCACCAAACGCCAGACCAGCAGTTGTGCCAAGAACCTAGCTGTCAGGCTGTTTAGACAGGCTCAATAAAATTGCGGGCACGGGTCAAGCCCACTAAAAGTCGACAACCTAATTCCTTTTGATAGACCTTATTATTGACGCCCTAGGTCTTATCAATTGTCAAGCTGACCGATGTAGACATGTTAAGGAGGCGCTTAAACCACTATAATGCTCAAAAAATCGATCACATATCGGATAGGGCTCAAATCCCACCGAAATTTGACAGTCTGATTGCTTTCTATGGATTTTATTGTTGACGCTTTAGTCAGCATCAACTGTCATGCTAACCGATTAGATTTGGTGGTGCCGAAAAGTCAGTAGTTTGGCCATCCAGACGCTTCTAAGAGGCGCTTTAAGCTCATTTATTCTAAAAAATCGATAATATGGCGGACGCAGATCAACTCCCATCACCCATTGACAGTCTGATCGCTTCCGACGGAGGTAATTGTTGATTATCTACTGTCGTAGTGACGGATTTAGGCATGGTCAAGTTTGCACCAGTGGAGTGTATGAGAGTGTTCTGGAAAGCGTAACCTTGCTGAAACCACTATTTTGATTTAAAGAAGAGTCATTACGACATCATCACTTCAGCAAAACCCATCTGCTATCGATATGGAAATGATTTACTCTTTTTTGGGTCGATTTTGGACTAAGTAGAGGTCAAGATTGGCATAGCGATTGTAACATAGGCAAATTGTACTACAATATAACGAATTTAACGACTTGGCTAACGCCTTCACCGGAATGTCAACGATTTGCGTGCGTAGAGATTAGCCAATGGCGTGACGCCAACGTGTCAGTAATACCTACGCAACGGTGTGAGCACTACATGCAGGGCGTCCACGCACTCAAACATGCACGCACGTCTTAATTGGCCTCCGCCAATCAGGACACGCGTGCGAGCTAATCACATCGATCGATGAAGATGTGCGCGTGCGCACGCACTCCACCTCTGTGTGCAGTTGGGTGCGTTGTGAATGCCACTCAAAGGGACGCACACCTGGAATGCCAACGCACCTTCGTGGCGGTATAAAAGGCAGCGCATCTCGTCGATGAGACGGTTTCGGGTCGAGGTGGCGACCGGAGCCCGCTCGCCTTCGCGTACCAACTCCGTCGGAGGGCCGGCATCATCGCCATCGACTGCCATTTCTCCACCACGCCAATCACCAGGCGACCGCGGAAACAAGAAACATATCAATTGTGAATATGTGTCCTGATTATGCATCAAGGCTGTGAGATTGTACAAATTTGTTAAGATTTAATCACATCACGCAAAACTTTAAAAAAATAACGTCTAATTTGCACACAAGCACATGCACTCGTAAACACGAAAACACACACATTCCTATGTACGACATTACCCAAGCCTTTCATGATATTTATATATATTTCTCTGCATGTATTAACAATTAATCAATTAAATAAATTGGTTGTTGGAGGAATTCGGTGTTATTTAATTGAGTGTGGCAGGGATTTTCAAGTGGGTTTGGGCTGGGGAATCAGCACTTAGGAACCTCACGCGAAAACTCATAGCTACCCTCTTCAAGGTCGCTGGTGAGACGAAGGTGTCAGGCTTGGAGTTAGTTGCTTTCTTGCCTGTTTTAGCGTCGAAAACAAGTTAATGCGGGTTGGCATCAGCTTCTTGGGTCATGATGTGATTCGCCCATTAAATTTTTGTGTTTCCAAATATGTCGTTAAATGATTGGAAAGGTAGCGTCAGAGTGAAGCAAGAACTTGCGCATTAAACTTCAATTATGGTTGAATACAGTAAAACGTGCCTTCGCCACCGTCATCATCATTATGCTCTTGCGGCGAATCGAAATCCAGCGATCGATTAAACCTGCCACCATTGGTCAGGGGTTTATTGGTTTTGTGCCCGCGTCGTCTTTTTTCCTCATTACTGCAATGCAGGAATGCGTTGGTGAGTCCAACCGATCGATATACTGACTTCTTAGGCCATTCCCGATTGGACGGCTGAATTTAGGCAATTTTACAGTTTGTGTCATATCGAGGTACGAACTTATGCATCCAACATTACTGACGATTAAACATAGCGCGTTTTGCAAAAATCCTTACTAAGATCCGCACTCTCCCCGTGTGAAGACTGCCTGCATCACCGCCGCCATGTTTTCCAAAGCAATTTCAAGGTCGACGCTTGATTGTGCAGGAGCCAGTTGATTTTTATGCTACGGTTGGCCTGATTTACATTGTGAGTATAACCACTGGCTGCGATTAAATTCCTAAAGGCTGTCGTGTTCAACTAATTTACGGTGGTACAACACTAAGCAGACAGTCGACAGTCTACGCCAAAGTCTAAAGGTCACGGACCAATCACGTGAAGGTGAAGCGACATACAGGCGTGATTTGATTGGTCAATAGTTGCCACAGCTACTTAGTAGGTAAAACACCTGAAGTTTGTTCAACGTGAAAACACAACACAAATTGTGTGGGAATGGATATTTTTACTAGCAAACCCAATGCTACTAAGCACAAGAAAAAAGGATGTTGACATGGTCGGTGAGAACTCAGAAAACACAGAGATGAATGCGGGCCCCAGTTGGTGACTCAAGATGACGAGGATTTTATGGTATCATGGCTGCTCTGTTCAAGCCAAAGTGACGCATAACGTCCATCAGGAACGGCGAGTAGCTCTTCGTGGTTTCCGCGCTCAACGATTTCGCCCTGATGCATCACCAGAATCTCGTCGGCGTTGCGAACCGTGGAGAGCCGGTGGGCGATCATGATGGTCGTTCGGTTCTCACAAATCTTCTCCAAACTCTCCTGAATGAGGCGCTCTGTCGCCGTGTCCAAAGCCGACGTCGCCTGAAACAGAACACAATCAATGTCCGCAAACAACCGGCTACTCAAATGTAATAAGTAGCAACTCCTGGCTGACCTCGTCGAGAAGGACGATTTGCGGACCCTTGAGGATGGTGCGCGCAATGGCCACGCGCTGCTTCTCCCCACCGGACAACTTCAAGCCGCGTTCGCCCACCAGCGTGTCGTAGCCGTCCGGGAAGTCTTGCAGACGCTCGTGCAGCTCGGCAGCCCTCGCTGCGCCCTGAACTTCCTCTGGCGAGGCAGAATGTCGGCCGTAGCGGATGTTGTAGGCGATAGTGTCGTTAAAAAGCACCGTGTCCTGCAGACAAACAAAGGAAGAGCGGCTAGTGGTGAGGCCGTGCAAGCAGCGGTATCCAAAACGCAAGGCAACGCACGCACTTGGGGCACAACGCCAATCGCCTGGCGCAGGGAGGACTCGGTGACGTGAGAGATGTCCTGCTCATCGATCAAGATCTCACCGCTAAGCGGGGAATAGAAACGGAAGAGCAGGCGAACGACCGTGGACTTCCCGCTCCCGGTTTGACCGACCTTGGGAGGAGAAAGAGAGGCAGCGTTACCAATGGCAACACGAATCACGAATCCACACGAAGGTCATCCAACACGAGGCAACTCAGTGGAAGACTTGTAAAGTTTACAAGAGCTCATCATGAAAAGTAGGAGGAAGGATCAGCTGGTGCCAAAATGCCTCACAACCGAGTGAACATCGTGTCTTACGATTGTCATCACTAGATGAGCTACACTGGCACAACTATACGACGCCTAAGTAATCTGAGAACTTCACTACAACCAATCACAGTTTTACATCCTCGAATCAAGGTGAAAAAGACACATTTGCAAGAAAATCGATTTTCCCGAAAACGCATCTCCGCATTCTTCAGACAGGCTGCCACATTTTCTGCACAATTTTCCCGCCAATGTTGACTACAACCAGCCATTTGTAGCATTAAATTGCAGTTTTGTGTTCAAGGTAGGTAGAACGAAGAAGAAGAAGACGAAGACGTCATCGTTGAATGCCAGCAACCATCGTGGCAGGTCGTGGATGTCGTAGACACAAGGCGCCTTCGACAACCTGGAAAAAACACGCCTGACCCTAATGAAACACGGTGTGGTTGCGTCTTGCGTAGAGACAGAGGTAGAGGCGCAGTAACACGACCTCATGTCTAAATCACTTCACCGATTAACTGCGCAACTCGACCGAAATGCGAGGCAGAACAAACTACACATTTACGAGGTGGTGGCGTACCACTACTTGTGGTGGTGGTGGTGGTGGTGTGGTGGTGACGGCAACGTACCAGCGCAACCTTCTTCCCAGGCATCACCGTGAAGGAGATGTTCTTCAGAATTGGACGTCTAAAAGGCGGAAAAATGGAATGAAACAGTGATCAAAGCAGTAATGCGGCGGAGGTAAATGGCCTTACTCGGGCACATAAGAGAACGACACATTGCGGAACTCGATTTTGCCACCGGAAACTGCGAGACGCGAGGCGTTCGGTGGGTCGCTGACGCAGGTGTTGTCGTCCAACAACTCAAACATGTTCTCCATGTCCACGAAGTTGGTCTGCAGGAGCCTAGGGAAGACAGGGAGAGGCGTGCTACAGATTTATGTAATGTGAAAAAAATAAAAACGACGAATTTAGGCTTGGAAATATTGTCCATCGTCTTCTACGACCCTGTGCTGCATCTTGAGCAACGTATGACCATCGTCGAGAAAGAAACGTTCAGCCTTACTAGGCAATGAAGTCACCGACGACAAATTTACGCGCATCGTCCAACGTTTTAGAATCTGTTTATCTACTAAGGCGTGATGCTGCTGCTGCTGCTGCTGCTGCATCGACCGGAACGAATAGTGGTTGGAAGGGGTGGGGCCAAGTCTGGTGAATATTTCCGTGCCAAGTTCACGAGGGTCTTCTGAGTTGCGTCTTTTCCGCTAAAGTTATTTTCTCAGTTTGTTCAATTGTCGGCTGCAGCGTTGCGCAGCCAACAGCAGACCAGTTTCCAGGAGGTCGTAATGAAGTACACTCTTTATGTCCATCCGCCAGCCACACAGGAGAACCTTCTTCAAGCGGATGTCCTGTTTCGGCGACGATGTACTACCTGGTTGCCCGGAGTCTACATACGATCCTACGTTTTGCATTTGGGATTCTCGTAATCAACATACTTATCATCACGTGTCTCATTTTTCAACAAGAAGTTCGTTCACTTCTTGTTGCTGGCGGGCATGCCGTGAAAGCTATGTGTTCATACGTTTAACTAGATTATGTTCGTTCAACATAAATCGGAGGACCTGACTTCTAAGTTTTTAATTTTTCGTGTTTGTTGGTGGAACCACTTGGAGGTAGCTGTTTGGATGACTCCTAACTGAGTTGCTGCAAGCTCTTGTTGCGTCTGCGTTGAGTCTTCATCCTGTAGAACATGCATAATTCCGCAACTTTTAACTTTTTGTGGCTAATGTTCGGAGCGCGGCTGGGCGCTAAGTTCAAAATCACCACTTCTACATATTAATTGTGCAACTAACGTAGTCTTGTTGTTCTGTGTTCTTCAAAATCTTGCGTCCGATCCTTTCAAAACCACTCAAAAGGGACCGCAAATATTCCGACACCAATTTACTACTGAATGGTGGAATTCCGGGTTGCTTAGCCGCCTAATCTTGAATGAGTTTCCATTCGCCATTCTCTAAAGGCCTATTCTCCATCACTACAGGCGGCACAGTTCCGAAAATTGTGTTATAGATAGCCATCGGCAGACGCATCTTCGTCTACGAGACGGTGTCGTTAAATTTGTGGTGGGTTTCCATTACAAGGAGACTATCGGATGGAAATATTTGAACCAGCCATCCACGGTTAATGGGGAACAACGAGTAAGCTTCGGTATACATTTTGTTTTGTTTTTCCAGTGAGTTCCGAGGCTTTTCACACAGTTAATGTTTATAATTTTATCCAGGAATGAGATCGATGTTCATATTTTACAGCAGAATTCGCAACTTGCAGTTAAATTTAGCAAATTTTGTCTATTAGAGGTGAAAAACTTGACAATAAAGAGTACATCACGAAAATATAGTAGAGGATTTCATTGTAATTGCGAAATATCCCAACTTTTAATGGAAAATTAATAAAACCAGTTTGTTTAGAAGTGATGTGAACCACAAAAACGCACAGAACGTGCACGCGACCTCCAATAATGTTAGTACATTGTGAAAATGAAGCGAATGTTAATGGGAAAAGCTGAATTGGTCATGATCATTGTTAGAACTCGATGTCGTGTGAATTCAGCCTGAAATTTTACCAGTGACCCAAAAGGTCCCCTAAGAACTGGTAAAGAGATCGCCGGCGACTAATGAGAGAAGTTAGGCAGAGACTACGACAAATTTATCAGAATTGCCAATCTAAATCATTAACAGTGCATCACTGATAGAAAACGAAACGGCCAACGATAATTTGAAAGCTAATTGGATTGTCGTGTTAATCAATGACATTAAGTCTTGGTGCTTTCCTTCTTTATTGTCAATGGGCACGGCTTATCTTGTTCATAATGACCGCCTCAATCTTATTGGCTCGTTTCCACCTTCATCGGCTGTTGAGCTCAACCAGGACACCTAAAATCGAAGACTGGGTGCGGTAGCTCAGCATTTGGACGAAGAGAGCCAAAAATAACTAAGATGGCAAAAAATCAGCAAGAACAGAATATAAAACTGCGTCATAGACTCATTCTGTTTAACTTTAAAATGTTTACGAAAATGGTTAGCAGTAGGACATATAAAAGCTAAGCAACACAAAATGACTACTTCTTACAACTGGCAATGTGTACAACTCTAAGATTTAAAACTTGAAATAACAAGTTTTACAAAAATGTCTCTTTGGGAACCGACGTTGTAGCCCAAAGCAAACAAAGCAGCATTACTTTAAGCATAATTCGTATAATTTCCATTCAACTGTTAGAAAAGGCTATTTTTCAACATAAGCATTTTAGTAAGCTGATATCTGTATATTCAAAGAACTAAATTTGCTTTCCACCAGTTAGCTCGATGATAGGTGTTATTCATGAAATATTGGAAATAAATTTGACCAACATTCAGGAAAATGTCTTTAGCTACGGCTAAAATGAGTTTTTGGAAATATTACTGCCCTTATTGGTAACGCATCAAATTACATTGAATATTCATTGAAGACATCACGTGACTGGAGAAATTAAATTCAATATTTTTTTCTTTTTTAAAGTACAGAGGGAACTGTATGACACTCTGTAACTTAACATTCTCTAAACGACCCAAGAAAACTTCAATTTAATTTTTAACATTTTACCATTTACCATAAATTTGTTTTGGCAAATTAAGAAAAGTTAACGGATATTTTGGAATGGATTCGAATCGGATTCTTTACAACATCAGTTATTTAAATGTTCTCATATAAATAGGTAACACCTACCCTAAGATTAGGTGGCTGAAAACACGCTTAAAATCATTTCAATAATCGCTATTACTTTCATTTAGTCATAATTAGTTCTTCTTTAAAACAGTTATGTGCACACTAGTGTTTCATGCAACTCAACTGCAGAAAATCTTATCAGACATAATTATGAAAAGAGAGCGGGAAAAAATATAATGCTTTATTGCCAATATAATAATCCTTCATTTTTGTAACTGCTGATAATTTAAGATGGTTAATTAAAATTGTCAATAAAGATAAAGACAGCAGTACTTCTGTAATGCACACGACAGAAGTTTAACTACTTGAAATATTAAATGCGCTGATAAAACGATAAATAATTTTATGACTGTTAAACTTCTGATTACAATACCTCATAGGAGTATGTTCGCACGTGATTAGCCGGCTATGGACGTAAATAAGTGCAAAACTGGCCTAAATTACAAGCAGAATTTCAATTTTCAGCACTTAGCAATATTTGACACCTGCTTGTACCGATACTTGTTTTAATTAACAATGCGCAGGTTTTATTTCGCACATTTGCGAACAAGTGTTCGTGGTGACTGTGAAAAGATTCCTCTTAGAGCCACGTTTCGATTTGGAACTGAATACATTCTCGTGTCTTGGATGAAGTGCATGTTTAGTTAGCGTTGTTGTCTGGGTTCGTCCATTGCGTTCACTTTTTATGTGTATAATTTTTTTGATACCACATACCAGATTAGCAATGCGTTATCATCGATAATTGAAGCTTCAGGTTCTAAATTTAGTAAATTAAGTAACACTTATGAGGTAGGGTAAGTATTAAAGTAAATTACATGTGCTAAATTAAGGTTTGTAGTCTAAGCATGTTGTTTCCAGTGTTTATAATTTTTTCCAGGACTTATGTTGACACCTTTCTACAACGCATTTCTTCGTTGACATTAATATCTGGCAGTGCAGTTGCCTGAAACTAGTCTTATTTAACAATGCAGAGCCTTTGGACGTATTTAGTGCTTTTAAAAGGTTAAGTGGCCATCTTTTAAGCCTCTGTATTGTTGCAGAAAACGTTATCAGTTCTCAACATACTCAGAAAAACTTAAAAAAATGGTCCTCAGTGTGTTGCCTCTTCATGAGCACCAACTAGACTATGTATTCTGGAATTGCGCGTCCTGCTTTTCATGTTACAGTGCGCCCTGTTTATTTTTTTTTCAGTTTTAATATATACATATATACACTACAATCATGATGCCTTCTGTTCATACCGTCGATGATCTGAATAAGTATGAAGGCACTGAAAAACTGCTTGAAATTTGGTTTTTCAACGATGATGCAAAGTTAGCATTAAGTCCAAAAAGTGCGGGTCTGCGTCAGCTAACAAGGTAGGCATTACGTTAAGAAGAAATTGTTTCCACTCGAAGACCTCAAATTGAGCATCTATTGGAGCTTGTGCACTGTGAAATTGTTGAAGAGTACCACACAGCACAGCAACTCAGTTTTGTGTTAAGGTAGTGCCATTTGTTGTAAACTCACTCCTTCTTTAGTGAAAGCAGTCTTTTTATAACCAATAACCGCATTATCCTCAAGACCTGCGGTCAGACACAGATTTTAAACGCCGTGAGACCACTTATCCAATACGCAATGTGCTTGGGGTTTACTAAATATGTGGTAAGTTTCGATTGGCCAATTATTGGCGTCCTGGCAGTTTGTAAGCCTAATGCAGTGTTCTTCCTATCTAGCTCTACTACTCGCGTCTGTCATTTCTGTTTCCGGAGTTGCAGGCAGCACCTCACAGGGATTTCAGAACCGAGGTATGTTGTTCTGTTGTTGTCTTATCCAACCCCTACCACCCATCAAATTGCGTTTAGTGTCCTTGGCTTTGTGACATTACTTACCACCTTGTTATGTGATGTTGATGGCACCATTAGTTAACTTCGTTTTTTTGTTGACCTTTCAGATTGCTGTACTTGAAAAATTTTGTGAAAGTACGTCAAAATTATGCTTCGTTTTTTTTCTAAACACAACACTCAAAATTTGCCCCTAATGAACCCTTTCATGCAAATTTTAGCTGGATCTGGCTACACATTTGGTCGTTTGAACGCGGATTGTTGGTAATTTTTGTGCACTCGTAATTATTGCTGTACTTTTCACTTCGAACGCCGCATTATTATGCCATGGCTTACATTTTAGCACTGTGTGCCTCATTTGTGCCTAAAAGTACATGACAAGCACCGTAGTCCCGAGTACGCAGCAGGTTTATCCTCGTGATTTGTTTTAAATAGTTTTGCGAACGAGACTGCGATAGAGTGCTAACTGAGGTAAATACACACTCGAAGACGTTCCCAACGATGCATTTGAATTCCTACCCAGTGTCCGTGAACGTAGTTTTTGTACGCTCAATTTGATTGGCTAACTTTGTCCCACATTTCGCCCTAGGAATTTCTACTGTGGTCAGTCGATGCTGGAAGAAGGTGATGAGCCCCCGGGTCAAACCATGGAGGTACGTGTTTTTTGTTGACCTTACGTCGGTTGAATGCTTCGCCAACTGGCGACTAATCGACGCCTCGGAAAATTCCGTGAATCGTCGAGTCACAATGACACCCTTGTGTCATGCATTCTCATTAAATTAACTCGTGAGATCACAGAGAACCACAGCAACCGCGATTGTGCGGAATTCGGATTGCGTCCGTCGTCATCGGCGCTTACCGCAACGCTTTAAGTGGTTCCAGGCGGTGACGCGGTCGTTTGTGTTGGCGGCGTGTCTCGTGGTAGACCTAGACGTTGTCCTGGCGACAGATGGTTGGGGCGTGAGAACAATCGTCAAAACCCTCGTTTTGTGACCCACTGGCATGACGCGCGTGCGTGACCCATCGTGAAGCCAAAATTCCGAAGTAGGAAATGTCGCAATCGCGATGGCAAACTACTTTGATGTGTGCGTGCGCGTGTTTGTCAAAGATGCCAGGTCACTGTGACAACCACGTCTCGCAACAAGTGTGTGTGCGTTTTGCTTTGGTAAACATTAAAGCTCCTTTCTGCGTCGAATGCACTGTCAGTCGAGTAATCTCTGCACACACAAAAACATGAGTACAACACTCTAATTCAGCGCTAAGCCGTCGCAGTCACCTGTCTACGGGGGAGGGGAGATGACGTATTGTTTACGGCGGCTGTCCGTCCCACGGACCAGCAGGCGCGCTAAACGGTTCCACCTGAATTCCCAATCCGATTGGACCAGTCTGAGTGCGTAGGCACTCACGCGTGTACCATCTGGCCGGGCGGACAACACGGGCCTAGTGGGACGTTGGATCCCACTTGCAACAGGCGTAGAACGATCAATATGGCGGGTTATTCGCGTCGCGGTCTACAGCCCAACTTTTCCGCTGTCGTCGTGACATGTTCAACCAATCGTTGTGTGTTTTGTGTCTTGCAGTTGATGATGCGAGGTCTCAATCCCAAGAAGATGGAACCCTTCTACGCAGAAACTTGCGGCTCCGCTGACGAGGCAACAAGGGTTAGTCTGCCTCCTCCTCCTCCTCGTCTCTCCCAAATTCCTTCTCAGCCTGACTCCATTTTTTCTCGCCTTTCGTAGTGCTCGGGAATTTCAGATTTGTTTCCCAAGGGTCGTGTGTCGTCGTACCTCTTCACACCGTGCGGCTACTCTGCAAACGGGTTGATGAATGAGGTGAGATTAGAACCTGCTCCTTGGTTATTGATTTCTGCCTTACCACAAAGAGAGCGAGAGTTTCACACAAAGGTGTTAGCGCGCAGGTCGGTAATACTTGTCGTTGTGTTGTGCAATTTTATGTTGTCTACTTGTAGGACGAGTACTTCACAATCCACGTCACGCCTCAACCGGAGTTCTCGTACGCCAGTTTCGAGACGAACGTCGCGATGGACAACTACATGCCGCTGATTGAACGCGTTCTCGCCATATTTGAGCCCGACTCCTTCATTTGCACCTTCATCTCTGACTTGGTAGGCTTTGTGTCCCTTCCAAATTATCGATTTTTGCCCGAGGGTGATAGTGGAGGGGCCTAGGGTACTAGCTTTAGGGCTAAATTTCGTGAGTTTCGACTCACTGCAAAATCTCTCCCGATTCAGTCCTCCAGAGGCGTTAGCGCATTCCAGACACGGTTTCCGCTTTCGTGGGTTTGTGACCTTGAAAACCAGCTTCTAATTCGGGCCTGCCAGAGTCACTGTAATTTGCGCGTTCACAGCTGATTATGACGGTCATGTTAGTAGCCCATCCTCCACACACGAATGGTTCAACTGCAGCGTCCTGAAATTGACAAAATTCACCGTTGCCACGGTTATGTCAAAGTCAAAAAGTCGACTTATTGCTTTGTGTTTAACGACTGGATTGGCTAAATTAACTGCATGCACGCACACGCCTATTAAGCGTGTGGTTCTCAGTGCTAATGTGCGTCTTGTGTGGGTCTTTGAAGCAATCGCCAACCTCCGTGACACACGCCGCAATGGAGAAGACGGTCAAGGTTACGGGCTACCGACGCGCCGACCTGCACGCCGCGTGCATGGCCAGCGAACGCAAGCTCACCTTCGCAGAGTTCTACCGCACCGAGGATGTCCGTCTCCAATAGCAACCAGCGCCGCCGTCCTTCCTCTCACCCTTTTTTTGTGGTAGCCCAAGCTGCCTTATGTCCTTGTCGAGCCACTTTGACTCTAATTTGGTTTTTTTTTCACTGTCGCCTCATAAACACACTTGGTCCCGACAACCAGATGCCACACAAAAAGCTGATTGGGTGTGATCGTGCTGTTTGCTTTGAAGCGTTTTTAGTGGTCGGCTTGCTTTCTAGGGCTTGGGGTACCAATGAAGGGCTTGTACGCCGTAGTCTACTGAAGGTTAAGCGGTTTTGGATGGACAGGTAACTGTCTGTTGAAATTATTTTCGATCTCATCAGTGAGTCATGCGCCAGGCTACCCGTATCACGGGGCATATTCCAATCGACGGAAGGCCAGTACGAAGTGCAGTGATTTTACTTCGCAGAATACACGTGCACGCACTCTCCAAATAAAAGATGTCACACGCAAAAGTACACATAAATGAAACCACTGAGCTCCCCAAAGGAGCAAATAAAACGTCCGATGCGTCCAAGTGACGATGGATGTTATCGGTTGAAGATTGACGCTTGTTCTGGTTACTTTGAACCCGATGTGGATTCTACAAGGACAAGAATTACGCCATCGATTAGCGTGTTGTTTCGTTGCACTGCAGTAGAGGCTAAAGTTGTAATAGCAGGTGCAACTGGAGAGTGGGATTGAGCGATAGAAACGCCAATTTGTGCCAATAAGTGGCAGGCTGCGATACACAGTGTGTCTACTGACTGCAAGGGCACAATCACATCAAATTTAATTAATAATTAAAGCAGAAGACGCATCACATACTGACAGTCTTTTTTGGAACTCTGCTATTCGCCGTGGAGTGGCGGCTGCGATTTGCAATGGCTGAGGTAGTGGTGTTGGCGGTGGAGGAGACGGAGGCTGGGATCCTTTTAACCACAAGCGAGGGTCTGGAGGGTTTGGTGGACTTGTCTCGACGTCGCGCAGACGGTCTGTTGTGGCGGTTGCTGTTGCTCGCTGCGCCGTCGACATCTGCGACGGGATCGCTGTCTCCCGTCTGAGGCGCCGACTCTGCCGCCTCTGCACCCGGCGCTTCCTCAGCCGCCGCCGCCGCCACCACTTCACCTTCCACTTCCTCCGCCCTGTCATCGTTTGCTGCTTGCTCTTCACCGCCTCCTTCTTCTCCATCATCTCCTTCCTTCTCTCCTGCCACTTCCTTCAATTCCTCCTGCTCTTTGTCTGCGTCTTTCAATCGAAAATCAAACCAGTCACCAACATTACCTCGAAACAATTCAACAATGAGCCAAACAAGCTCTGAAAAGCACTCTCAACTATCACAATCAATTGACTGATCACAAGTATCTGGAGTGTGACACCAGTACTTCTTACTGCAGCAGCAGCTCCACCACCCATTTCAGCGAATACACTCACACTACTACTTACATCATTTCAGTAAAAAAGCACAAACAAGGCAAACTGAACCACATGCATTTTAGTAAAACGACACAATAAGATTAAACACGAACAAGCACATCACTAACACTCCCACGGCAATGTCCAGGTATTTTATTTTAAAACAATTGGCTGTAATCACAGTTTACATGACAAAACTCACATCTTATTTTCAGTAAATTGTTGGGAATTTTCTGATCACTTTAAGCTCAAACACGATCCCAACTTAACGATAGCAGATAATGAAAGAATACAAATAAACGCAAAAAAACGCAAACTAGTATCACCGATTTGCTAACTGACTTAACAGGCACGATAATTCCAACCGCATTTACCACATTGGTGTAGTTCGTTTGTCCAGACTTGATTTATCATTCGATGTTCAGATATCGCTAACCACTTGCAGGTCAAAATTGCAGGCTCACCTTTTAATCACAAAATATTGCTCACTCAGTAGCGTGAATTAGTAACCGATTCTACTAGAGTAATTCGCGCACACATAAAATTTTGTCTGCTTTTATTTTTCGAAAAAATATGCTATCCTACGCTTTCTAAACAAAATCTTAGTTCTCTACACTTTGGAACCATACAAAACGACCTTTTAGAAGTCTGGAACGTATCCTAAAAAATTTTTATATTTGACTGGAATGATATTAAGTGGTTATTTCCCACACTAATATTAACATTTATAATTCGCTCTAAAATGATGGCCTAAATTGCAGTTGGAAGAATATATATTTAGCTTCTTAACATGCAGTGTGTCATTAAAAATACAGCTGAATAATATCGACCTGAGTTCATATCATAAACTGTCGTTTGATAGCATTTGCTGACGTATTTGTCCATAACATGATTGCAATATGCTTTAGCGGATTCGTTTCTGTGCTCCTTACTTAAGCTTGCCGGACACACAAATATAAGTCTGTCAAAGTTTTTTGAATGCAGGACTGCAGACCTGTATTCATTTTGGCATTTTAGTGGATAGCAGCATCATGTTTCTACCTCCCTACGCATTAATTCCTGTTAGAACAAGGAGATGTAACATCTATTTGAGGGTGTTTTGGTTGGTGGATTCCAATAACGAGATCACACTTCATCGACTTCAAGTTGTACATCATATCAACACGCTAAACCACAATGTTAGCCTGGACCTTGGCAACATTTTAAGATTTTTGTTTGCTAACAATTTCATTTCACTCGCATTCCATTATTTTATGTCGCAGTTTTCTTGAAATAGGTTTTCTTTAGGGTCCAGCTTAAAAAACATAGCTGTGCCGAATTATGCACCCTTTCGACATAAATAGCAGGCGTTTTTTATTTGGCGTTTCATACGCTTATGAAAAATTTTGTCTTTAATGTCTCTGAGTAAGTCCGACATTTTCAGTTTTGAAAAGCACGAGTTCCTACATGACACTTTAAATGTTTTCAAACACTCGTCGTAAAGCATCACTATTGTAAAGTAACTGATTTTAAATCAATAGCGAACTCTTCTCATTACAAATGTTGATTGTGTTTAAAATGGTACTTGAGGCATGAATTTTGACCTTGCTCTATAGCGATGCATTCGCGTCAAGTTGATTTATAGGTTGTGATTTCTTTCATGGACTGAAATGAATAAAGCTGTAAAGGATGATTTTCAGATTGACGTAAGCACTCAAGAAGAGTGGGAGGATCTTATATCAAAAGACGGACTTAAGGGTTTAGTCTTGCCAATTTAAACTAATGTTCAAATTAAGTTATTGACATATATCAAGAATGGAGTGGGCCATGTCAATCCGTTAAAAATTTGTTCAAAAAAATCAATGAAGAATTAAATGACAACAAATTATTTTTTGCCACTGCAAATGCTGACACGGTTGATACACTGGAGAAATATAGAGGCCGTTCGGAGCCATATTTTCTGCTCTATGGGGTTAGTATGCAAGTTATTAGTTACTTTAGGGACAATCTCTTGTTGCGGTTGTCAAAGGTGCAAACTGTCCGACTATTCAAGCTACTATATATGAAATGTTAAAGCAGGAACATGAAGCTTTGGCTGGTGAAATCGCACGGGTAGAGATTGAAGACCCTTATTTGAAGGCAATTGAGGAAGAGAAGGCAGCTGAGGCCAAACGACTGGCCCGACAGAAAGGTACGATTAATCATTGTACGAGCTGTTCTTCAAGAAATCGATCAGGAGTGCTGTCCATTGATTTTGCATTCAACTTTATCTGAAGAAAATGTGGAAAATGTCATTGAACTGGTAACCGTCGTTTCCCACATCTATTTCGCATAGCTTTTAAACGCCGGATATGAGATTTTGCAAGAAGAAGTAAAGCAGCTCGATGATGACACCGTAATTGAGATTCTCGAAAGTGAATCCGGGGACCCAGACTATGGTTTTAGGCTCAACGAACTTACTAAAGAACCGTTAAGATGTCTTCTCGTGGCAAAAGGTCCTGAGGGTGTTGTAAACGAGCTGATTGACTTTGTTGGCCCAGAAAAAGAATACAGTTCTCCTGACGGCGAACCCATGCCAAGGTATATTTTAATTTTTAAGTATCGACTTTAATTTTTTCACAAAACATGTCTATACTTGTTGAACGTGGCTGCGCGCCGCATAATGTGCGCGGACTGCTGTGGAAGTCTATGCGCATGTAATCACAGCGACTTTGCAATGTGATTCACTTTAGTAAAAAAGCTGAATCTGACCGCCTAACTTATTTGCCGTATTAACCATTATCAAAAACTATCATTATGCCCCAATTACGGACGAATTTGTAATTGGGCTATAAAAGGAACCACAAAATTAAGCATTTTCGCCTGATATTTCAGCATTCGTGACCTGTTTGGGGGAGGAAAACCGAAGGAATGTCTCACTGCTCCTACCACAACCAACGCAGCTCAGACGTGAGTCATTTTATCGTGCTAAGCTATTCCTCTGGTGTGTTTTAGCATATAAGTAGTCAGGACAGTTATAACAAGTATTGTGCTGTAAAGTAAAATAGGTATAGTAAGTGGACCTTGTTGTGGACCCCAAAATGTGATCTTAAACCACGCCGGGGCCACGGAATTAATCCTGGCCTGATTACGCTTCTCTGATACCCGCGATGAAGAAAAAGACAGGAGAGGACGTAGACACAACCATTCACTTCAGAGGTCAACCACGTTGGTGTCGTTGTGTCTTGCGTAGTGTTTGCGCTTGTGTATTTATGCCTCAGATGTGTGAGTCATACATGCGCTAAAATCGAGACCTAAGTGTGGGGATAACCCAAGGTAAATGTTCGTGCAAATGAGGGAAGACTTGAGGATCCGCGTGGCCGGTGAAATGTTTCTAAAAGGGTAACCCTGTGTCGGAAGTGGAGCTACCGGATTCAGGAATGTGAATAAACACGATTCGTAATAGCGTAAAAATTTTGTATTTTTATTGAATCACGTAAATTCATTGAAAGATATTCACTGAAAATAGTTAAATTTTGGTTTTACTGCGTCTAATTGTTATTAGATTATTCAAAGCGAAGAAATTCACTAATGAATGTCTCAATTTGTGCGCCTAATTATTTCGTCTTTGTGAAGAATAATGAAACTCGTATTCCCGGACTTCACACCGCCTCGAGTAATTACGTACCTTCCCGAGGTGGAGGAGACCAGGCCGAGCGTTTTTGCTGCAGGTCTTTTGGACGACGAGAACCAGGAAGCCGGCGACAACGAGGAGTCATCCGGCGTGCCAGAATACGAGGGACCACCACGACTAATTGTCGTGGTGAAGCCGCCTGCCTACGACGCCTACCGCGATGACGTGATGGCGGACTTGGAGGCGGCGAACTTCACAATTCTCTCAACCAAAGATTACACGTTCTCGGAGGACGAGGCTCGAGAGTATTATTCCAAAATGTCATCTTCGAATTTGTTTGAAAATCTCATTGCCATGGTGACCTCTGGTCCCTCGTTCATCATAATGGCTTGCAAATCCGTACGTTCTTGCCCATCTAAGTTGAGCGTCCAATCATTGTGGGCAGATGAGCAGTGTGTGTGTTTTGATTGGTTAAGGAGGCGTATAAAGCGATGAAGGACATGCTTGGCCTTGAGTCGTACGCTCAAGCTCTCAAGAGCACTCCGGATTCACTGCGTGTGAAGTACTCTGCTCCTCCCGAGGGCGAAAAAGACGATGACCTCACGTGGATTGATGCGTCGCTAAGCGAGGCTGAAGCCAAGAAGTCGATCGACTACTTCTTCCCCGTGGAGGACACCTTCGCCATGTTCAAGCCGGAAACGCAGCCCGTGTGGGAGGAGATGCTGGAGGAGATCAAGAATTTAGGTTTCAAGGTGGTTATGAAGAAGGAGGTTGAACTGCTTCCCGAAGACATCCGTGTCATCTACGAGAACAACATCGACAAACCCTACTTCGAAGATCTCTCCCGTCACATCGCCTCGTAAGTCTGCGAATGTTGGTGGAAGCACGACCTTTGAATCGAGCACAATGAACCAGAAAACGCACTGCCTTGACACACTAAATCGATTAATTGGTTTTCACACTGTCTGGTTTCAGTGGACCGGCGATGGTGATGGTGCTGAGGGCGCAAGACGCGGTGCGAAGATGGCACACTTTGATTGGACCCACGGATCCGGATGTGGCTGTCGACAGTCACCCGAATGAGTAAGTGGGAGATTGCTCTACTAATGTTGTTATTTGCTGGATTGGTTTGAAGCTCCACAGAGTAAAGCTTCAAACGAAACTCGAAAGGTTAAGGTGGGTGAGTGTAAGCCATCCATTTTCTGAAATCCATACTGTTGATGATGACCTTGGGGTGATTATGTGATTGGTTCCTCTTCCTGTTTGTCTTTAATCTCGACTACATGATTCGCCCATCAGATTGAGAGATAGGGATGGCGTGTGGATGGGACAGCTAACTTTTTGAAGTTAAAATTGTCGAATGCCAGACACATTCGGTGTTAACACTGTCAATTCAAAACGTTCTGATTGGAGGTTAAAATAGACAGGGAAATCCACCTACAACGATCAAACTAACTCACACTTTAAATCAGCCTTTCAAACTGCCACCGTCAGATTTAGTTTTGTGTGTAAATGCAAACGAGTTTTTTTGGTGTTTGTGTTTCAGTGTGAAGCAGGAAGAAATCAGGTATGTGTGTTGATGAGTTAGGCCTAACGCGTGGAAACAAAAACGAAACTTACCCAAAATTTTGTCGCGACAGCCTCCGAGCGACCTACGGCCGATCGATTCTGGCGAACGCAGTCCACGGCAGCACAAGCGCCGAGCACGCCGCAAAGTGTATCAGCCGAGTATTCAGGGAGCCGTCCAACGAGCTGGAAGGCGACAGCTGTGAGTTCTGGTGGTTGATGTTCGACAAAAGTGCCCCTTTGTGAGTTACTTTGTGAATGCGTTTAGCTCTCGGGGATGTGGGCGAAGACATGGAGGAGAAAGAAGGTGGTGAGGAAGGTGAAGGTCCTGTGGAAGATGCGGATGGTAACTTTGTTATAGTTCAGTTATAACCTTGAGAAGTGTTGTTTTAGTGTATCGTTGTGACATCGAGAGGGGTTTTTAAATATCATGACGAATTCGAGGTCATCTGGGTGAGCCAGCGTCGACAGTTTTCATCTGTGAGTAGTTAACGGTATCTTGATATCAAATGATAAAACAAGTCTGGACAAACGAACCACACCAATGTGGTAAATGCGGTTGGAATTATCGTGCCTGTTAAGTCAGTTAGCAAATCGGTGATACTAGTTTGCGTTTTT